TCACCCAAGACATCATCCTTTTCTATCAATCCTCTCACTTTACACTTCTTTCACATCTTTTCCATTCATTGGCACTAGTGGCCAGAATTATAGTATCATTCTCGACCCTTGGCCGTATTTCATATTTCATGCTCTCCTTTTCACTTTCACACATCCTCATTATCAATAACAAAACTTTTCAATTCATGATTTTAGGTACACATGTGAGAAATTAAGAGTCTTAGACATAGATAGATTTTTCACATAATTTGGCATGATAACCTTCATTCAAACTTGACTTGATGTCGTAACATTTATAACACACAACCAATACTTTGAACATAATCTCAAATGATAACATAGCAGGATAAAAGCATTTGGAACACATATTGAACATATATCTTTCAACATAAGTTTACTCAGCCAATTTCATAATGTTCAACTCGAGTCGTACATAACTTACATGAACACCGTGGAATTGAATTCCACGAAAGGAGTTTAGACAACATACCTCAATTAAGCTTCTTTAAACTCTAAAATGTTCCAGAATTCTTAGCAAAGTACAATCTATTTTAGAAATATAACCAATTGAACCAAAATCAGGAAGATGACCATGGTTCTAGCTCATTTGAGGATTTATTCTTGAACCAAAATCAGGAAAATGACCATGGTTCTAGCTCATTTGAGGATTTATTCAAACACTAGGTGTGCATTAAGGTTTCAAGGTCCTTTCATGGTGGGTTCCATCATCCAACAACCCATTCCTTACCATTTTTAGCTCAACAATCTTCCTACACCCTTCGATAACACATGCATACAAAATAAACAACTCCCACACCCAAGAATTGTCTTGCTAATTACTCATTTTTGGTTAAAATTCGAAATTAAGGGCTAGGGTGTAGAATCTTACCTCTAGGATAAAGGCCTAGTGAGTTTTACTTGATAATTTTCTAAGATGTGAGTAAGAATTGGTGGATGAAGCCTAGGAACTCCCTTTCTCACTCTATGCCACTCCCTCTCTCTAGAAATATATGTTTTATCCTTCTAAATGATCCCCAAAGGTGTTTTATTAGAATGGGGTCGAGTTTAAAAATTAGAAATATAGGAGCCCTGACACAGTTCTGCGGTCATATATGCGACCGCATAATGCTTCTGTGGTCCGTGAAATGGGCCGGAAAATGGCCCTCTGGAGCTGGGCAATTTTTCCCCACTCTGCGGACATTATGCGGGCCGCACACCTGTTCTACGTCCATATAATGTGCCACAAAACCTCCCTCCGAAAAATTTACATGCTTAATCTGCGGTCGTTGTGCGGCCGCATAATGGACCGCAAATTGGTCCTACAATTTTGCTCCAGTTTTAGCTTCGTTCTGCGGCCATTCTATGGCCCGCAGAGTGATTCTGCGGCTGTATAGTGGGCCGAAGAACTGTCTTTTTTTGGCCAACAATTTCCCTTAACTCCTAAGCGCACCACTCAACCCAAAACGTCCGAACCGCAGCGAGCTTGAATCTCTACAGTTTTTAACATAAAATCCTATCTCAGCACCATGAAATCCTAGGTTTTAGGTGAAATTTTACAAGGTCTTAGATCCTCCCCCACATAAGATCATTCGTCCTCGAATGATGGTCAAAGTTCACTATTAGCATTCGATGTAACGCAACTGCCATACCACGCACCAGCAGTTCCAAATTTTAACTAACTACCAAAATTTCTAAAATGTTCGCCAGAGCCCTTATAACTGGACCTATCCACATACTAGAGAACCCATAAACAAATCCTAACAACATATACATAATCCAATGGCGTAACATAACACTAAACAACACCAACCGTGGCCCCATAAGCAACATATAACCAGAAGGGAACACTTTTCAACATCAACTATACAAGTGATACAAAATTCATAGGCGGCAATTTCATTTAAAGATTACATAGTTATTCAAACAAATAAGGATACTTCTTCTTCTTCATCTCTTCCTCGGCTTCCCAAGTAGCCTCTTCAATATGTTGGTTTCGCCATAGCACTTTCACAGAGGGAATTTCTTTATTTCTCAACTTTCGGACTTGCCTGCCAAGAATGGAAACTGTAATTTCTTCATATAACAGTTCTACATTAACCTCAGTAGTATCAACTGGCACGATAAGCGATGGATCTCCGACTATATTCCTCAACATAGACACATGAAATACGGGATGCACCGATGACATCTCAGGTGGTAGCTCAAGCTTGTACACCACCCGACCAATCCTACGAATGACTCTGTAAGGTCCAACATACCTCATACTTAATTTACCTTTCTTACCAAACCGCATTTTACCCTTCAAGGGGGAAACCTTCAAGAATACCCAATCATCTTATTTGAATTCCAAACCTCCACGGTGATAGTCCGAATAGGACTTCTGACGACTTTGAGAAGTCTTCAACCGCTTTTTAATGATCTTAACCTTCTCCATAGCCTGATGTACGAGGTCTGGTCCTATTAATTTAGCTTCCCCAATTTCGAGCTACCCAATGGGAAATCTACACCTCCTACCATAAAATGTCTCGAATGGTGCCATCTGAATACTAGCATGATAACTGTTATTGTAGGCAAATTCTATGAGTGACAAATGATCTTCCCAGCTACCCTTGAAGTCAAGAACACAAGCACACAACATATCCTCAATCGTGTAAATAGTCTCCTCTGCCTCCCCATCGATCTGTGGATGAAAGGCTGTACTATGATTCACCTGAGAACCCAAATCTTGCTGAAATGTCCTCAAAAACTTACCCGTAAACTGTGCTCCTCGATCCGAAATGATAGAAACTGGTGTGCCATGCGACCTGGCTATTTTCTTGATATACAACTAAGCATACTGTTATACTGTGTCGGTAGATTTAACTGGCAAAAAGTGTACTGATTTCTTGAGTCGATCCACAATTACCCAAATTGAGTCAAACTTGCACGAAGTGCACGACAGTCCTACCACAAAGTCCATATTAATCATTGCTGCCTTCCATATTGGAATTTTTATATTCTGTGCCAACCCACCGGGCCGTTGGTGTTCGTCCTTTACTTGCTGACAACTTGGACATCTTGCCACAAAGTCCGCCACATTCCTCTTCATGTCATGCCACCAATAGACTTCCTTGAGATCATGATTCATCTTTGTAGAACCTGGGTGCACGGAATATTTAGAAGTGTAAGCCTCAGTCATGATTCTTTGCAGGAGAGCATCAACATTTGGAACACATAGCCAACTAATGAACCTCTTTGGCCAACGGCCTTTGATGTGCCTCCACGTGAGCCAAACTATCCATAGATTTACAGCTAAGAGAATCCGCCACAATATTGGCTTTTCCCGGGTGATATAAAATATCAATGTCGTAATCTTTGAGTAATTCCAGTCATTTTCTCTACCTCAAATTCAATTCCCCCTGTTTGAAAATGTATTGAAGGCTCTTATGGTCCGTGAATATATCCACATGGACCTCATACAAATAATGACGCCAAATCTTTAATGCAAAAACCATCGCCGCAAGTTCTAAGTCATGTGTTGGATAGTTCTTTTCATGATTCTTGAGTTAAGTAGAAGCATAAGCTATAACCTTTTCGTGTTGCATCAATAAACACCCAAGCCCAATCCTTGAAACATCACAATACACCACAAACCCATATGTACCCTCTTGTAGGGTTAATATCGGTGCTGTAGTCAATGTTGATTTCATCTCCTGGAAGCTTCTTTCACAAGTTTCTGACCATTGTAACTAGATCGCCTTTTACATTAATTTAGTCAATGGAAAGGCAAGAGTAGATAACCCCTCCACAAACTTCCTGTAGTATTCAGCTAAGCCTAAGAAACTACGAAATTCTCTGTTGGAGTAGTAGTCTAGGCCAATTCTTCACACCTGCAATCTTCTGAGGATTAACCTTAATTCCTTCCCTGGAGATAACATGACCCGATAACATGATGCAGCCAAGCCAAAATTCACATTTTGAAAACTTCGCATACAACTGGTATTGATAAAGAGTCTGCAAAACCGCCCTGAGATGATCGACATGGTTCTCTAGACTTTGTGAATATACAAGGATATCTTTAATAAAGACTATTACAAAAGAGTCAAAAAAAGGCTTTAAGACTCGATTCATAAGATCCATGAAAGCTGATGGGGCATTTGTTAGCCCAAAAGACATTACCAGAAATCCAAAGTGCCTATACCGGGTCTTGAAAGCTATCAGAATATTCTGCTCCCTAATATTCAATTGGTGATACTCGGATCTTAAATCAATTTTGGTGAAGCACTTATCACCCTGCAATTGATCAAACAAATCATCTATCCTTGGTAGTGGGTACTTATTTTTGATTGTGACTTTGTTGAGCTGCCGGTAGTCAATACACATCCGTAGCGACCCATCTTTCTTTCTTACGAAGAGAACCAGTGCGCCCCAAGGCGACACACTTGGTTGGATGAAACCCTTCTCTAACAAATCCTTCAATTGTTCCTTTAGCTCCTTCAATTCTACCGGTGCCATTATGTAAGGTGACGCTGTGTACCTGGCATCACATCAATCCCAAAATCAATCTCTCTGTCTTGTGGTACACCAGGGAGCTCATCCGGAAAGGACATCCAGAAATTCATTCACATTATACACAGACTCAAGCATAGGTGCCTCAGCATTGGTGTCGGTGACGCGAACCAAATGATAGATACACCCCTTGTTAATCATCTTTGTGGCCTTAAGGTAAGAAATAAACCTACCTTTTTCCACCATGTTATCCCCCTTACATTCAACAACTGACTCATTTGGAAATTCAAACCTCATAGTTCTAGTTCGGGAATCAAGCTTGGCAAAACAGGAAGAAAGCCAATCCATTCCCACTATTACATCAAAATCAACCATCCAACTTAATGAGATAGATCATGGTGTCCCGACCATGCACTGTGACAACACAATCCCTATAAACCCTTGCGACCACAATAGACTCACCAACCTGAGTAGATACAGAGAATGACTCATGAAGTTGTTCGGGTTCTATCCTAGAATTCCATAGCAACATAAAGAGTGACATAGGACAAAGTGGAACCGGGATCGATAAGATCATACACATCATGGGATTGGATAGTCAATAAACCTGTGACAACGTCTGAAGAAGCCTCTGCACTCTGGCGACCACTCATAGTATATAAATGTCTAGGTCCTCCCGAAACGTATGCACCACCCCTAGATGCACCACGCCCTGCGCGTGCTGGAGTGCCTCGAGCTGGAGGTGGTGCTGAGGATGTAGCAGCTGTAGAACTGGATGGCTGTATTGTGCCCCTGCCCGCACCCTGGCGGGACGAACGACACTCTCTGAATATGACCCCTCAATCTATACCAAAGTATATGGGTTGGTCCATGTAACAGATCTCCAAGTGTATCTTCCCACACCTGGGGCATGGGGGCCTCCGCTGCTGCTGGAGTCTCCCTCTTGACCGGCTCTGCTGGTGGGGTCCCTTGTTGCCTTGACAGGGCCTGAAATGACTCCACTGTTGCTGACTGGGCCATGATAGCGGTGCACTAGCTGAAGTCTGAACAAAAGACTGTGATGGCCCTCCCCTGAATGCTGACCTACCACCACCAAACGAATCTCCAAGGTTGCCCGCGGAACGGTCCTTACTGCTACCCTCTCGCTCCATTATGTTCTTCAACTTACAGTTCTCTGTAGCCTGAGTAAATGCCACAATCTTCCCATAGTTCATGTTAGAATTCAAGACAATTGTAACAACCTCATTTATAACCAAAAGGCTAAGGCCCCGCACAAACTAGCGAAATCTAGCCTCCATAGTAGGCAACATGTGAATAACATACTTGGACAGGTGCGCGAACTCCATGTGGTACTCCTACACACTCTTGTTACCTTGCTTTAGGTTTTCAAACTCAGCAACATAGGCTGCCTTTGTCTTGGCAGGCAAAAATGATCCATGAAGGTTTCATTCAACCTCGCTGGAGGGCTCCCCTCCTCACGGGAGTCCTCCCATAGCTCAAACCAAGAATAGGCCACCCCTTTCAAGCGGTAGGTGGCCAACTCCACACCCTCGGTCTCAGTAGCGTGCATAAATCGGAGAGTCTTGTGCATCTTATCAATGAAGTCCTGGGGGTCCTCCTCGATATTAGTACCCGCGAACAGTGGAGGATCTAATCGAAGAAACCTGTTCACCCTAGAACCAGTAGAATCCCCTTGCTGGCTAGAAGAAGCGGATTCAACATTTGATATATGGGCCTCGGAAGCCACAATCTGAGCCTACATCTGTATGGCTCCCTTAAGATCCCTATCAGAAACACCAGGACCGAAAGCTGGGGCAGCAGGTGGAACCAGAATATCAGTTGGAGGAATCGTTGCATGCTCAGTAGGTGTAGGAACCGGTGCAGTCTGGTCAGATGTAGTTGAATCAGGAAATGTAGTAGTCGGGGGAATATTCTCTCCCCTCAGGTACTCATCGACATCATCAAGTAAAGAATGAACTGACACTCCTGGGGCAGCATTGGCTCCTTCGCCAGTTCTTGCTTTCTTCCTAGGTGCCATGTACTGAAAGTTAGAGCAATGCACGAGTTAGAGGAGGAACAGTCTCACAACCAGCTCTATCACATGATATAGAACATCAAAGAACGGTATTATTCCTAAATGTCCAAGTACACCCTAATTATAGATGTGGTCGACAACACACTAATAAGAATGGCTCTAGTAGACACGACTCCGAGACATCCTAGGACACTTCAAAACATTTGGCTCTGATACCAGGTTTGTCACACCCCAAACTCAAGGAGCGCGACCGGCGCTCAATCGAGTGAACCCGGCAGAGCAGACCCGTGAGATACTTTTTACCCAAACTCACTCATGAACGAAGAGAGGACATATTCTCATTAATTAGATAATAGGGAGATCATGTATACAATAACAAATCATTTTCATTAGTTACTTCATCTTAAAACCTCAAAATACACACATTTTCATGGTTTAAGTGGAACAAGTGATTCTAACATAACATGAATTGTTTGACTTTCCAACACCCATATACAACCCACACTATGTCTACAGAGCCTCTAATAGATACAAAAGAGTACAATGAAAGTTCCGGTAATAAGGCTCCGTCTATGCCTCAAAATGTGATAATATAATGGACAAAAGATACATGACCCCAGAATGAAGCGGCACTCACCAAGTCTGCTGGGAGAAGGGTGTACTGCTATCACCGATCAATGCCGCTTGCTGTGAAACCACATGCATTCATTAAATATGCAGCTCCCCGGCAAAAGGGACGTTAGTACCGTCGAATAGCACTAGTATGTATAACTAAACACCCTCGCAATAGAATGAATAATACTACAAGGAGGAACATTCATAAAATCAATGGAGTCCTCAAACAATACCAACACATCAAGTTAAGAACCAAATACGTTTTCAAGTAAATTTCCATTTTTTAGGTTCGGAGATCCTTAGTACCGATATACCATTGCTCACAATACCACAGTACCTTTATCGCAGAGTCCGATCACGAGCCGATCGGCTAGGCCGTCTCATTTGAGACATCAACCACAATCACAATTTCAATTACAATTTCCCGCACAATCACCACTATGTGTGCGGTATGGCATCCGATCACGACCTGATCGGCTAGGTTGTTTCACCCGAGACATCATCCTTTTCTATCAATCCGCTCACTTCACACTTCTTTCACATCTTTTCAATTCATTGGCACTAGTGGCCACAATTATAATATCATTCTTGGCACTTGGCCGTATTTCATATTTTATGCTCCCCTTTTCACTTTCACACGTCATCATCATTATCAACAACAGGACTTTTCAATTCAAGACTTTAGGTACATGTGAGCAATTAAGAGTCTTAGACATATAAAGATTTTTAACATAATTTGGCATTATAACCTTCATTCAAACTTGACTTGAAGTCATAATATTTATAACACACAGCCAATACTTGGAACATATTCTCAAATGATAACATAGCATGATAAAAGCATTTGGAACACATATTGAACATATATCTTTCAACACAAGTTTACTCGGAATAGCCAATTTCATAATGATCAACTTGGGTCTTACATAACTTACATGAACACCTTGGAATTCAATTCTAGGAAAGGAGTTTAGCCAACATACCTCAATTGAGCTTCTTTGAACTCTAAAATTTTTCGGAATTCATTGAAACTTCAATATATTTTAGAAATATAACCAACTGAACCAAAATTAGGAAGATGATCATGGTTCTAGCTCATTTGAGCATTTTATCAAACACTAGGCGTGCATTAAGGTTTCAAGGTCCTTTCTTGGTGGGTTCCATCATCCCACAACTTGTTCTTTACCATTTTTAGCTCAACAATCTTCCTACACCCTGTGATAACACATGCATGCAAAATAAACAACTCCCATACCAAGAATTGTCTTGCTAATTACCCATTTTTGGTTAAAATTCAAAATTAAGCGCTAGGGTGTAGAATCTTACCTCTAGGATGAAGTCCTAGTGAGTTCACTAAATAATCTTCCAAGATTTGAGTAAGAATTGGTGGATGAAGCTTAGGAACTCCCTTTCTCATTCTCTTCCACTCTTTCTCTCCAGAAATATATGTTTTATGCTTCTAAAATGATCCCCAAGGGTGTTTCATTAGAATGGGGCCGGGTTCAAAAATTAGAAAGATATGAGCCCCGACACAGGTCAGTGGTCACATATGCGACCGCATAATGCTTCTATGGTTTGCGAAATGGCTCACGAAATGGCCCCCTGGAACTAGGCAGGTCTGCCCCACTCTGCGGCTGCATAATGCGCTGCAGAACCTCCCTTCAAAACATTTCCATGCTGAATCTACTCGCGAAATCGTTGTGCGGCCGCATAATGGACCGCAAATTGGTCCTACAATTTTACTCAAGTTTCTGCTTCGTTCTGCGGCCATTCTACGGCCTATAGAGTGATTGTACGGCCGCATAGTGGGCCGCAGAAATGACTTTTATTTCCAACAATTTTGCTTAACTCCTCAGCGCACCGCTTAACCCAAAAATTCCGTACTGTGTTGAGCTAGAATCTCTACAATTTTTAACACATAAGCCTACCTCAACACCACAAATCCTGGGTTTTAGGTGAAATTTTACGGGGCCTTTCACATGACTATGCCGGGCGAATTGTGATATTGATCATGTAGTCATGCTGGGCGGATTGAGATATTGGCATGTGAGTTTGCCATTCGGTTGTGATTAGAAATGTGGAACAAGGTGACATGAGCATATGATTTGTGGGTTGAGACTCGGGACTTGTGATATGACATAAGGTAACTCGAAGTCATTTAGTTACGAAACTTGTGATAAAACGACTTGATTAATTGGTTGTTATTTGTTTTTCTTATTTGGTTTCAATAGTATTTTCACGGTGTTACTATTACTTTACCGTTTATATCAAATTTTGATTCTTATTGCCATTTTCTAATTCTTGTTTCATTACTAGCTTTATACTTCTATGCTGCAAATGTTATTTTTACTAGTAGGTTTTCTTGACTTGTACCTCATCACTACTCAATTGAGATTAGTCTTGATACTTACTGGTAAGACCATGGTGTACTCATACTACTCTTCTGCACATTTATGTGCAAATTCGTGTATTGGAGATATCAGACTCAGGTAGAGTTAGCTTTTTAATGGCAAGGATTCAAGGTAGAGCTGCTTGGTCATCGTAGTTCCTTGGAGTCCTTTGCTTTTATTGTACTATCAGCTCGTTATTCGAACAATATTATATTTCAATCTTTGAAATCTTTCCATGTGTTCATCTAGAGTTCATGACTATGTATTACCTAGTCTTGACAGGGTATTATGATTATTTCCGCGTATTCATATTTTGCTTTTGTTTCGATATTCATATTAAACTCTATTTTAGTTTATCATTGTTAAATTGACTTAATTGTTGTGAGCACTCGGCTTACCTAGTCTTAGAGACTAGGTGTCAGACGACACCTAAGGCGAGATTTTTGGTCGTGACAAGTTTGTATTAGAGCTCTAGGTTCATAGGTTCTATGAGTCACGGGCAAGTTTAGTAGAGTCTTGCTTATAGGTACGCAGACATCTGTACTTATCTTTGAAAGGCTATGGAACTATTAGGAAAATTACACTTCTTTTATTACAGTTGTGCGGATTTGTTGATTTTAAAATTTGAGCCTTTGTATCTCTATTCTCTCATAGATGGTGATGATGCAACCTACCAGATCATCTGAGCAGACACACACGCCACTTGCTAAATCTGCGAGAGGCCTGGGCTGAGGTTAAGGACGAGAAGGGGCACGTGCCGCTGCTAGAGCACCTACCAGAGCAGTAGTTGGGGAGCCACCAGTAGCTCCGGTTGGGGGACAAGCACCAGAGGTGCCTGTTGTCACCCCCGTACTTCAGGAGACTTTGGCGCAGTTACTGAGCATGTTTGGTACATTGGCTCAGGCCGGATGTATCTCCGTTTCACCATCTACTTCACAGATTGGGGGAGGAGCTCAGACTCCCACCGCCCGTACTCTAGAGCAATAGGCTAATGTTGGTCATACTCCAGGTTTGGTTTCGGTAAAGCCTGTTATTCTTATTCAGCCTGAGGTCAGGTTAGGAGTATCAGAGGAGGAGTAGAAGAGGCTTGAGAGGTTCAAGAGGTATGGTCCACCTAATTTTAGTGGCACTTCTACCTAGGATGCACAAGTTTTTCTTGAGAAGTGTCACCATA